TTATTTCCGTTTATATGTATCACTTTGCACAGTTTTAAAAAGTATTAGTTGTTTATCACTATACCACCAGGGATGTATAATTCATATATGGGGATATTGCACTAGTTATTTTATTTATATTGATTTATATTTTTCAGTTTGCACATTGATTTAGGTATGAGATAATTTTCACTTCCTAAGTTGAGCGCTTCACCATTTATATAATTTTGTTAACCCAGGTGTAAGGCAGTGGCCCTATTCAAAGTGCCTAGCATGGCCCAGAAGAACCCACCCCGGGGTAGGTCTCTCAGGTGACCCTTGCTTGGCACCCAACAAGGAGGGAAGCATAGAGGACGTGATTACCTCCCCATGACCCTTGCCCTACATGCGCTCTGGCAGTATAATCCCTGCACTTAGTAGATTCAATTTACTACTGCTCACTGCTGTACCTAGGTGGCCTTGCTGCTGTTTATGATGTTCTGGACTCCAAATGTCATCTAATGTCTAATCCTTACTGTTAATTACTTTGTATGCAAAATTGTGTTATTGCCATTGTTAATCCATGTTATGCTTGCCTAGTTACCAACCAGTGACAATATATTAAGTTTGCCTGGTTTGGTGCCTGTTTTATTGATAAATCTCTACTATTGAGTACTAAGTATTACTTTCAGTGAATTCTGGTGATATTGTATGTTTGTATGCTAAAACCTGGTGTGTCGGGGGGGCTGAGGTTCTGGAGAAGGTTGAGGCAAAGAACAGTGGACCAATCCTATCCAGCGGCTCCAACGGGAATAGCGCTACATCTAAAAAATATACTTTGATTCCTGTGTCACAATTAAGAATCTCACAGATACATTTAAACCTCAGCAATCTCATTACACATGCTTTTATGCACACTGAAAAGAGACAGAGAGCTAACCCTTTGTCTGAGCCAACTTTAAAGAAGAACTTAGCAATAAGCAACTGCTGAGACAATGAACACTTTGGTGAGAAGTATGTAATATACACTCACTGGTCACTTTATTACGTACTCCTGTTCAATTGCTTGGTAAAACAAATGATTGTTGGTGCCAGACGGGCTAGTCTGAGTTTTCAGAAACTGATGATCTACTGGGATTTTCACACCCAACTATCTCTAGGATTTACAGAGAATAGCCTGAAAAAGAAAAAAAACATCCAGCGAGCTGCAGTTGTGTGGAGGAAAATGCCTTGTTGATGTCAGAGGTCAGAGGAGAATGGGCAGACTGGTTCAAGATGATGGAAAGGCAACAGTAACTCATGTCTATATGGACCAAAATCTCTGAGGAATGTTTCCTACACCTTGTTGAATCTATGCCATGAAGAATTAAGGCAGTTGTGAAGGCAAAAGGCGTCTTTCCGGGTACTAGCAAGGTGTACCTAATAAAGTGGCCAGTGAGTGTACAATACAGAGCATATACCTAATACAGGAATATGTAAAAGAGAACAAGGGTTAGGGTGTGCAATGCACAGAGTGCTGTAGTCAGTGTCAGGCTTAGGAGTACATATTGCAGAGTGCATGAGTCAGGCGTGTGTAATGCACATAGCGCAGGGATCCGGGGTATGTATTGTACAGTAGGGGTTAAGAGTACAAAACAAAAAGAGTGCAGCACAAATCCTCTCCCCAAATCCTTCTCTACCTCATCAAATTCTCCTCTCCTGGCCCAAATCCTCCCCCCCTCTTCTAGCACAAATCTTATCCATCCCAATCACCAGCAAACATCTTTCTCTCCACAACCCCCCTTCTTGTACAAATCCTCTTCCACTTGAAACTCCCCCTTCCAGCACAAATCTCCCCCACCATTCTCACTCCCAGCACAAATTTTCCTTCCTTTCTCCCAATTTGCCCTCCCAGACCAATTTATCTCCCCCTTTCTAGCACATTTCCCTACAACCCCCCCCCCCCCCCCACTCCTGGCATAAATTATTTTCCTTTCCCAGCACAAAATTACCCCACACCTGTTCTAGTGCAAATTCTCTATCCCAACAAATCCCCCCCAGCACAAATTCCCCTCTTCCCAAATTCCTTCCTCTGCCCAGCACAAATCTCCCCCCAATTCCTCCTGCCAGCACTAATTCTCCTACATCCCCCTCGCAAACCAGTAGAGACCTTAGACACAGCAAGATTCAATGTTGGGGCTGGGAGATGTCCTTTCTCCAAGGCTCCTCCTTCTCTTCTGTCATAAGGCATATCAGAGCCAAGGAGGAGTCTAGGGAAAGCTTTCCTTAGCTCTGACACCTGCTGTATGACTGTTGTGACAGGCGGCAGCCAGTGGGGAGAGATGGCCAGCTGCTATTGGTGTTGGTGATTGCCTTCTCCACCAGTCGAGCATACCTCTGCCACCTCATTCACAGCGACAGAATGGGGTCCCGCCAAGCATTATCATGGACTTCATGCATGCATATAATGAATTCCTTCTCACTCCCTTACCATGTGGCAATTAAAGTCGGGGAACTTGGAGGTGTCTGATAGTACCTCCTACAGCTCACTCGTTTCATAATGCAAGCTGCCTCAGGTTAATACCCCTCCCAGAGAAGCAAATTCCATTCAGCAAAGACCAGTAATAGTAGGTTCCTGGTCTAGGGAGAACCCAGATGACACAGAAGGGGGCCATGTGCTCCAGTAGGACTACATAAGGCAGCACTCTTTCCACTGATATTCCATGGGGAAGAGAAGAAAGCTGCTCTGATTCCTCCCCTTGTATTTATGTGGTTTACAACAGGGGAGAGGACCCAAAAAGCCCAGCAAACAGCCTAGACACAGTTAACCCCTTCCCATCCTGCGCAGCCTGAACTAGCTACTTATAGGGTTGCCACCTCATCCCTTTAACCACTTCAATACCGTTATGTTTTCTCTTTTTTTAAGATTTTTTTTTCATATTACACTATGAACAAAGTAGTATAATGTTACAACCATAGTAACATTGTACTACTTTGGGGAAGTGATCACTATTTTTTTTTTTTTTTTTGACAATTTGTTTGCTTATAGCAAATAATGTCTTTGCTATAAGCAAGCATTTTAACTGAATGAAATCGATTCACTAAGGTTTTTTTGTTGTGATTAGCTGTGATTGGCCACTGCTAATCACATGACACAATATTGGGCTGTGATTGGCCCAGCCTGTGCATGTGATCACTGTGACCATTCACAGCTAGACACACTTGTATACAATGGATGGTATGAAAGGAATCCGTCCATTTGTTTACAACTGTCATGTGAACCTGCTTTGATTGGTCACAGCAGGTCACATGGTACTGGCAACTGGGCTGGTACACAGATCTATCATAGGCCATGTCCAGAGTATATGGCCGGTGACAGATCTCTCCCAGCGTGGCCCCGCGGGCACGTGCAATGCGCAATATGACGCTCTCCCAGTTCGACGAGAGGCTCTCCGGGCCTTCATCTTACTATAGGCTGGGTGGGAAGTGGTTGAAACCGATCACAGGTTCTGAGGCAAATTTAATGCATATCAGGCACCAAGTGAGTTTAATTACCCCCTTAACCGCATGCGCCCAGCCACTGTACATATACGGCGGCAGGGCGGCACTCGCAGGCAAAACCAAATTTTAAAAACGTTGTGTTTTGTAAACAAATAGGGGGGGCGTGCGCGAGGCGCGCCGCCGCCCTATCTGTCCTGCCGATCACCGCGCAGATGTGAGTCGCCGGGTCACAGCCGTTCCTTAGCGGCTGTTTCCCGGCGATCGGCGGCAAACAGTGACAGACAGTACAGCTGCAGTAGCTGTGCTGTCTGTCACTTCCCTGTCAGCTCAAGGATGAGCTGATTGAGAAAGAACAGTTTCTCTTTCTCGATCAGCCTTGTCCCGTCCAGTACACACACCCCCGCCCCCTAGTAAAACACTCCCCTCACTCCTAGAACCCTTCCCTGCAAAATAAAGTTAACCCCTTCCTCCCCATTGCCATTAGTACAGTGTCAGTGTTTTTTTTTTTTGCACTGATCACTGTATTAGTGTTTTTGGGAGATGTCAGTGACCCCAAGTCAGTACCTCCCCAATGTCACGCCGCAGTCCCACAGTCCCGCCATAAGTCGCTGGTCGCTGCCATAAGTCCCTGATCGCCGCCATAATTCGCTGATCGCCGCCATTATTAGTATAAAAAAAAACCTAAAAATCCCAGTATCTTTCCCGCCATTTGTAAACGCTATAACTTTCACGTAAACCAATTAATTTACACGTATTGGGTTTTTTTTTTTTTTAGCAAAGACATGTCGCAGAATGCATTTTGGCAGAAATTTATGACTAAATTTGATTTTTGCATTTTTTTTTTACTGGACATGTTTTATAGCAAAAAGTCCAAAATATTGTTTTTTTTCCCTCAAAATTGTCAGCCTTTTTTTTTATAGCGCAAAAAATAAAAACCGCACAGGCGATCAAATACCACCAAAAGAAAGCTCAATTTGTGTGGAAAAAAAGGATGTAAATTTCATTTATGTACCGTATTGCATGACCGCGCAATTGTCTGTTAAACTAGCGCAGCGCTGTATAGCAGAAAAATGACGTAAATTGCAGTATTTATACCATAGTTTGTAGACGCTATAACTTCCACACAAAGCAATCAATATACACTTATTGGGATTTTTTTTACCAAAAACATGTAGCAGAATACATTTTGGCCTAAATTTATAACCAACTTTGAGTTTACTATATATTTTTTATAGCTGAAAGTAAAAAATATTGTTTTTCTTCAAAATTTTTGGCCTTTTTTTGTTCATAGCGTGAAAAATAAAAAAGCGCACAGGTGATCAAATTACACCGAAAGAAAGCTCTATTTGTGTGAAAAAAAGGACGCAAATTTCGTTTGGGTGCAGCATTGCATGACCGCGCAGTTATCAGTTGAATTAGTGCAGCGCCGAGTAGCAAAAAGAGGCCTGGTCATTAAGGGGGGTAAATCCTCTGGAGCTCAAGTGGTTAATCAGCCACAGAACCTGTGTAATCAATATGTGTTCGGTTTTTAAAGGGATCAGGTGGGAACCCTAGCGACGAAGCTACACATTGCAATAAATCCAAAAGCAGACATACATCCAATGATATCCCACAAGCACCTGTTTACAAACTTTGTTTTCTGGAAAACCTCTTTGTCTGTTGTCTGCATTGTAGATGAGAAGTAGTGGAGACTTTCCCAATTCCTGCTGGTACCAGGCTATGTTGTTCTCAGTGTGATGGTGATTGTCTCTCCTGGAGACACAGAGATATAAACTGGAAAAAGCACTGGCCCCCATTCCTCTCTATCTTGCCTTTTTGCAGGATGGGCTGAATTTCACATTATTATGCCCCTTTGCAGTTGCTCCAGACTGGTCAAACTCTGTGGAATTTATTTACTAAAGCTGGAGAGTGCAAAATCAGGTGCACGTCTGTATGGAAACCAATCAGCTTCCAGATTTTATTGCCAAAGCTTAATTGAACAAGCTGAAGTTAGAAGCTGATTGGCTGCCATACAAAGATGAACCGCATTCTGATGCTCCAGTTTTAGTAAATCTCCCCCTGTGTGTGGTCAATGTGCTCAGGTAGAGAAGGAGACTAAGTGGAAGTTTGAATGGCCCAGAGCAGCCACTTAGGGGTGCAATATTGTGAAATCCAGCCCATCCTGCAAATAGAAAAACGGAGAGGAATGGGGAGACATGAACTTTTTCTGGAGAGGGCCCCAAACAGCTGCACCTGAAATGAGAGGACCTTCACCATTTGCAACAGGAGAAGCTATGGTATGTACTATTCATTGGATGTCAAATTACTTTGGGGGATGGGGGGGAGTTTCTAAAAATCTTCATGAAAGGTAAACTTTCATTTCCAGCACTTTATAATTTTTATTCAATGATTCATTTTTCCCAGTGTTATTGTGTTCCTTATAGAATACTGAGCACTATATGTGGATGATGTTTTTATGTGTTATAGAGGAAGAAGGTTTTTGTATGGATGGAACTCCCAATACTGCAGACAGTAATATTTTCCTTTATCATCTTCAGTCACAGGAGTAATTGTCAGAATGTAACGAGTGTAAGAAGATCCATCACTCCTGCCAGTGAACCGGTCTGGGACTCCTGTGTATCGGGTGGTTGCAGCATAGATGAGCATTTTGGGGACTTTCCTGATTTTCTGTTGGTACCAGGCTATAGCATCCCCAGTGCCAATACTGGATGTACATGTGATGGTGATGGTCTGTCCCGGGGACACAGAGATAGAATCCGGAGTCTGAGTCATCACAATCTCTCCACAGGATCCCCTGAGGATGGGAAGAAAATAATGGGAAAAACTCCTAAAACAAGAAAACTAATAGAGCCACATATCCAAGGACTGGCAAGCTGCAATATATTACATTTTAGTTTAGGGGTTTAATGCCACTGTAAAGTGTTGAAAGTTGTCCTGATTTCTGCTGGCTCTTGGCAGACCATTTGTCAATGCTACCATGATGGATTTTTGTCTTTTTTCAGCCAGACTAACAGTGTAACTATGTAATGCTAACTGTAAACACCCTTTGGGTTTAGCTATATAGGTTTATTATATTACTTTTTTTTAGATATAGTCTGAGAAGCAGCCTGGGATGAGTCAGCCTGGGAGTGAGGCAGGAGTTCACCTCAGCACCTCAGGCTAGGAGGTTCTACAGGTCAGGGCTTCTGAAGCCCTTCCACTTTCCAGAAACTGAGTGAACTTTCTGGAACAGGGGTGGAGGAGGGCCCAGAGATGCATGTTTGAGGGACCCTGGCCAATCCCCTGGCAGGAGGCTGGACATGGTGTCCAAGGCAACCCTTAAATATGACAGAGTCTAGGCAATAGAGGGAGAGTTGTATGGAAGATGGGAGTGAGAGGAAGGCTGGAGTGGTGAGCCTGGGAGGGGACCCCAGTGAGGGGAGCCTACCTACAGGCTGGTTACTGGATAGGAGGATCTCTACTGCCGCAACATCTCCTAGGGAGGACAGCCTGTCAGTCAGGAAAGATGCCAGCCCAGCATAAGGCCTGAAGGCAGCCACCAAACCACAGAGCTGACAGGAAAAAACAGTGTGCGTACTTCCACACCCCCTGGGCCAGATAAGTGGAGAGGGCAGTCAGGTGTTATACCCAACTAGTTCTCATCCGGGACTGCTTAATAGACAGCTCTTGGGTCCTCTTGCCCAGGGATACCCTCAGTGCAGCTGGGTGAAAAGGAGGATTCATCCAGCTCTGAGGAGGTACACCAAAGGGGCTTAGTGCTCCTCAACTGAGACTGTTTTTATTCTCATCAGTCTGCATTTTAGTACATAGTTGCTAAGAAGTTGCCCTCAAGTTCTAAAGTTCCATGGGGCATCCCATATACCCATATAACTCCTAATAAAAACAACTAAAAACCAGCTCAAGGACTGTTTACTGAGTTTGAGTGTGCAAAGTGTAGAAAATGTATGTTGTCTGGCTGTGCAGAGCTTAGGGGGACCCAATTCAAATCCAGTGGCCCCTAATGGGGTAGTGTTCCATAACATTAGAGTTATCACCAAATTTGCCTCTTGGCGACACAGATATTATCTCTGACTAAATGAACTTTTCTACATCATGACAAAGCTGTCAACTCATGCACTGCATTACCCATATATGCTACAATAGCAGATTGGCTCATTCATTTGGTAGACAGCGGTCACCGATTATGGATGGTAGGAGGACACATGTTGTGAAATCAAGTGAAAATAAACAAGAATGATGAAGAGCTTATGCCTTGGTTCACACTGATGCAGTGTGGAATTTGCAGCGTTTTCAGTGAGTATTCTGCACTGCATCAGAATTGCAACCCGTTCATATGAACTGATGCGGGCGTGTATGTTAAGTTAACAACACCCTGACATTGGTCTGCAAAACGCGGTGCGATGTGCAGAATCGGATCACATAGGTGTGAATATCTCTGTGATCCTATTCTAGTGCAGGCCAAAAAAGGGTCCTGCACATTTTTTGGTGCGGGTGCGGTGCGAATAGAGCCATACAAAATGAAAGAAAACAACAAAAACAAAAAACTAATAGTGTGTACCCAGCTTAACAGAACATCTTATCAATTCATGAAATGCTGGCAGTCTGGTGTGGGAAACTAATTCATGAAACAGATTACTTTGAAGTTGAGATTCTCAGGTAGGAATAATACAGATCATGTTTGGTTTTAAAAACTTGTAAATATAACTCAGTTCTAAATGTAGCGCTACCATCTTGAGAGCTGCTTGCTTTTGGTCCCCCTTTACTTCCTACACAGCCAGACAACATACATTTTCTACTTGCATCCAGAAACAAGAAATAGTCCATGGCTTTTTTTAATTTTGTTTCTTTTATTTAGAAATGTAACTTGGATAGGGTGTAGAGGTTATGAGATGTTCAATTTAATTGCAGAATAAACAATTTGAGGACAACTTCCTTTTCTAGAAAATGCTACAACAATGGCAAATTGAATGACTGTGGTCCAGCCAGTATCCTGACAGTCTTTAGAAAGTAAGCAACTTGCAGGTACTGGACCAGGTTCCTTTTCAAGCTTTGCAGTATGTCCCTCCCTGGTGGACTGCAGGACAGTGGAGCTCCCTCTTTCAGTTCTCCTCCTCCAGCCTGGAAGCAAGACCCCCACCCCTCTTCTCCAGGGCCCCCTCCAAAGCTACACAGTAGCACTCCATCTTCCACCCAACTCCCCAGCTAGCATGGCTTTCTCATATTTATGGGCTTGTCTGCTATACTGCCAGGCCTTCTGCCTGGGATCGGTCAGACTCCCATGAATATGCAGATCAGCCCCTCCTCACCTCCGCCTACTGGCTTCTAGAGACTTTGCCAAGTTTCTAGAGCAGGGGAGAGGTACCAGAGGGACTGACCTGTAGAGCCCTCCAGCCCTAACCTGAAGTTACCTTCTTACTAACTCCAGGCTTCTAGCAAGCCGCTAATTACTCTGACCAACTATATACACCAGACGGCGCTACATAAATAAAATATTCCATTACATTCCATTTGCAAAAAAAGTCATTCCCATTGAGGTGGTGGTGCACAACATTCTGGGTGAGGTTGGGAAGATTTGGGGTCTTGAGAAGACAGGTGGCGGCTGGGAGCCTGGACAAATGCGTTGAGGAATGTCAGGTCCCCATAACTGCTGATTGTCAGTCTCTGGGGTGCGTAGCTTTTCTTTCTGTCCTTCCACGTCCCCTACATTTTTGTAAAATCATATTTTTCGAAAAATGCTGCATGCATGGATTCAATATTTTGTTTCTTAGCCTGAGAGTGTGTTTAGGTGGAGGTAGGGTTTGTTGAGATACAATATAAAGATAATAATAATATTAAAAATATGATTAGTTCTGTTTGTTTTGTTTTTTTCAGCAAAAATGACATTTCCTGTTTTCTATGCTGAAGTAAGCTATTTTTGTTTAATTGTATATATATATATTTATTTATACTTTATTCATTCTGTATATATGCTTTATTATGTTGTTTGCAAGATTTTTTAATAAACAAAAAAATTTACATAAATAAAATACAAACGGTAATATTTAAAGCCCATCTATGGGCAAATTTGTCACTGCTCTTCTCTTATAACACACTCCTCCCACTCATTCACAATTTCTAAACAAAAAAAAACTTCCTAAGCCCTTGTCACTTACCTAAATCCACCATCATGTAACCCTCTGCAGCACCTCTCCTGGAAGTAGAGAACTGTGATCTAGTTCTGTAGTCCCGGCTCATCCGCTGCCCCTTGTTGTAATGTCATGACACTGGTGCAGTCTTCTGGAACCTGAGAGGCCCCTACCAACTAGAAAGCCAATATGAAGTGTCATGATCTCCCAGTCCCCCTGACATGGACACATGAAAAAGGACCTTCCCATTTTACTGTACAGAAACGAGAAGTCTCAGGACCTCACATTTCCCATGACCAATTATAGCTGAACAGTTGCATTATATATATATTTTTTAGTGGATGATTAATAATGTGGTGATCAGCAAGAGGGGGTGGAGGGTATTCCTTGTAGGAGAGAGTTTTCCAGGCTGGACTTAGAGTTTAGGAAATCAAAAAATAACATAAGCAAGAAGTTTTCCCTGAAAACATTTTCACATTATATTTTTATTGGTTACACGATTGTGTGTGCATTTTGTTAAGCGCTGCACAAATTGTTGGCACTATATAATATAAATCTTGAATAATAATATGCTTTTTGTTATTTACAGTTCCAGCAGAGTGTAATGATTTATCGATTTTGAAATGTACACTGCTCAAAAAAATGAAGCACTTTGAAAAACACATTGGATCTCAATGGGGAAAAAATCTCATGCTGGATATCTATACTGATATGGACTGGGTAATGTGTTAGGAATGTAAGGATGCCCCATCGTTTGATGGAAATGAAAATTATCAACCTACAGAGGGCTAAATTCAAAGGCCCCCCCAAAAATCAAAGTGAAAAATCGATGCAGAAGGCTAGTCCATTTTGCTGAAATTTCATTGCAGCAACTCAAAATGGTCCTCAGTAGTTTGTATGGCCCCCACATGCTTGTATGCATGCCTAACAACGTCGGGGCATGGTCCTGACGAGATGACAGATGGTGTCCTGGGGTATTTCCTTCCAGATCTGGACCAGGGCATCACTGAGCTCCTGGACAGTCTGGGGTGCAAACCTGGCAGCGTCATATGGACAGAAACATGATATCCCAGAGGTATTCTATTGGATTTAGGTCAGGTGAGCATGGGGGCCAGTCAATGGTATCAATTCCTTTATCCTCCAGGAACTGCCTCATACTACCAGTAGTGACACTGACCCTGGCCAAATGCAAAACTAGTGGAAAACAGTCAGAAAAGATGAGTAGGGTAAAAAAAATGTCAGTGGCCTCCACCTGTAAAAAACCATTACTGTTTTGGGGGTCGACTCATTGTTGCCCATCTACTGCACCTGTTGTTAATTTCATTAACACCAAAGCAGCTGAAACTGATTAACAACCCCCTCTGCTACTTAACTAACCAGATCAATATCCCAGGAGTTTAACTGACTTGATGCTATACTCTGATTAAAAAGTGATCCTTTAATTTGTTTGAGCAGTGTATTTGCTGTTACCATGTGGCTGATTATTTGAGACCAGTAGCAGGTTGACATCTTGTGGTTATTTTAGTTGCTACATGCTTTGCTGTTTAGAGTAATGATGAATTTCCTCTGCAGAGTAATACTTCCACCTAGCTTCAGGAGCACTTGAATCAGATTATTTATTTTTGTATTTATTACAGGTACTTATAT